CAATAGTCAGGAGGCTATTATAGAGTTAATATCAAGTGACTTTGATTTGCTCTATTGGGTCAAATAATGAAAATTTTGTTCTTATGACTTAGAGGAAATAACCTTGGAGTTTCTCCAGTTTTGTAGTGAACCACCAGACTAACTTTTTCTATTTTCCACAAATTCAAAGGTTCTTCCCTCCTCACACCCCATTTTGTAAAACAAGCCTGCATGCTACAAACCCAGAGAAGACTGTATATTTAAAAGAATCATCCTTTTTAAAATTGCTTTTAACCAAGTAAATAATATACAGTGCCACTGAAATGTTTTGGTGTTAGGGGGAAAGAAGGACTAGAGGATTGATTATCCTTTACATCCTGAATCAGAAAGGGACACAGAATTTATCTTGGGATTTTTTACATTTGCTTCCTTCACCCCCACTAGGGGAAAGAGGTTGGAAAACTACCTGTAACTTTTGTTTTTCACTCTTTAATAGTTTTTTTTTAATATTACATTCTTATGGTGGAATTCACCAAATTTGATTGCATAATTTGAAGAATTTTGGTCATTGTATGCAAATGAGTAACTACCATGATGATTAGATTGTAGAACTTTTCCTTCACCCTAGGAAGTTTCCAGGTTCCTCTTTTTACTTCTGCATTCAATTGTGCTACATTCCCTCACTCCCCACCCCAGGTCACCACTGACTTGTTTTCTGCCACTAAATTTTTGTTTTGTATTCGATTTCATATAAATGAAATCAAAGTCTTTTGTGTTTGACTTCTTTCACTATGGTAATGATCTTGACATTCATGTATGTTGTTTAGACTACTGACATTTTATTTTTGGGGGGTTACTGAATAGTATTTCATGGTATGAATATACCACAATTTTTTAAATCTATTCACCAGTTGAGGTTCATTTGGGTAGCTTCCACTTTTTGGCTATAATGAATAATGCTACTATGAACATTCATATACATATAATGGTGTAGACATAGGTTTTCATTTCCCTTGGTAAATACCAAAGAATAGAATTGGTGGGTAGTATGCTTAACTTTATAAGATGTTGCCATCCTATTTTCCATAGTGTTTGTAGCATTTTCCATTTTCCAAAGTAATGCATGAAAGTTCTGGTTTCTCCACATCTTTGCAAAAATTTGGTATTTTCAGATTTTTAAATTTTAGGTATCCTAGTAAGTGGGTAAATGTATCTCATTGGGGTATTAATTTGCATTCTTGGATGACTAGTGATGTTTACCTCTTTCCATCTGGTTACTGGAATGCCTGTTTAAACCTTGTGTTTATTTTTATTAGATTGTTTGCTTATCTCTGACTTTTTGATAACTGCATTAGTGTCCCATAGTATAGAATCAATGCCCTTTTGATGGACACTGAAGTTGTTTCTAGTTGTTTTGCTATTATAAGCAGGATTTAAATAATAACTGAATTACCTTTGATTAATCACATTTACATTTTGGTGGACACTGACAATTTGCTCTTAAAAGAACTAAAATATTTTACTAATTTGATTTTTTTCCTTTCATAAGGGTTATATTTATTTTCCAATAATCATGTGCTTTTTTCCTAATAATATATCATAAGCATCTTTTCAGTTTAAAGGTTTTATTTATTTATTTGTTTGTTTATTTTATTCTGTTTTTTATGTTATGTTAATCACCATACATTACATCATTAGTGTTTGATGTAGTGTTCCATGATTCATTGTTTGTATATAACACCTATTCAGTACATGCCCTCTTTAATACCCATCAACAGGCTAACCCATCCCGCCACCCCCTCCCCTCTAGAACCCTTAGTTTGTTTCTCAGAGTCTATAGTCTCTCATGGTTCGTCTCCCCCTCCGATTCCCCCCCTTCATTTTTCCCTTCCTGCTATCTTCTTTTTTGTTTGTTTGTTTATTTATTTATTTGAGAGAGAGAGAGAACAGTGGGAGAAGCAGTAGGGGTAAGCATCTCAAATAGATTCAGTGAGCTGAGCACAGAGCCCAACATGGGGCTTGTCTCATGACCCAGAGATCATGACCTAAGCTAAAACCAAGAGTTGGACACTTAACCGACTGAGCCACCCAGGTGCCCCCATCTTTTCAGTTTAATAAATAAATATCTTGATCATAAATTCTGATGGATGTGTAGTCACACATTGTATGGACATGGTATAATTTATTTAACTGGTTCCATTTTGATAGATATTTAGATTGTTTCTACTTTTCCATTATTGCAAACAGTGGTGGAATGAACATCCTTATAAATAATCTTTTCTTTTTATTTTAATTTAAATTCAAGTTCATTAACATACAGTATTTTCTTCATTTAAGGGGTAAAATTTAGTGATTCATCAGTTGCATATCATACCCAGTGTTCATTGCATCAAGTGCCCTCCTTAATGCCCATCATCCAATTACTCCATGCCCCCATTCCACACCAGCAACCCTGTTTGTTCCCTATAGTTAAGAGTCTCTTATGACTTGTCTCTCTTTTTGTTTTTATCTTTCTTTTTTTTCCCTTACCCTATGTTCATCTGTTTTGTTTCTTAAATTCCACACATGAGTGAAATCATATAGTATTTGTCTTTCTCTAATTGACTTATTTTGCTTAGCATAATACACTATAGCTCTACTAATGTTGTTACAAATGGCAAGATTTCATTCCTTTTGATGGCTAATATTCCATTATATATATAAATATATATCACATTTTCTTTATTCATTCATCTGTCAATGGACATCTGCGCTCTTTCCATATTTTGGCTATTGTGGACATTACTTCTTCTTAATAAATTTTTGGTAATAATTAACTAGTCTTCATTTTAGAACATTTTTCTCCACCCTCTTGGGCTTTTTCTTTTATGTGTCCCACATTATCTTCATTTATTGTTCTGTCTAAACTGTGTGCTCTCTTTTTATATTATCCATCTCCATGTTCACCACAGATTTGCTGTGTTCTATATTTTGTTACTGATTATTCCTCAGGGTTTGTGCTCTTACATTCATTCTTTCTGTTTTCCCCATGCTCAGTGTCCTTGTTTTTGGAATCTGGCTCTACATGGAAGAAATCTCATGATTTGAATGGGAAAGGACTGATTTCTAGGCAGTGTCACCAGGAAAACAGTCTCACTCTTCACCTAGATTTTCTCTATCATGCTTGCATTGTCATTCCTGTAAGACATCCCCTTGCCACTTCAGAAATTGTTACATATCAGTCAGCTACCTGTTGCTGCAGCCCTGGAAATGAGCTTCCAATACAAACCATTTATGACCCTAAAGTGTGTTGCACACAAATGTCTTGCTTTCCTACACTAAACTACTTTCTCTTTCCACTTTGCTCTTCTGGGACTCACTGCTGGTATTAAAGAAAACCCTCAGAGAAATACTCTCTATTTTATATTAATGCTTTTTTATTTGTTTAATGATTTTAATTTTTACCTTGGCTCAGAATTATCCATATGCAATACTCACTACTGAAGCTTCTGATAGGTAGTGATGGTTTATGGCAGAAATATTGATGAATAATAAGCAAAGTATAGTCACCAACAGAAGCTCCATGGTGTTGCACCAGCTTTTTATATCAGGTGCCAAGCAAGACCTTTGTCCTTGGTAATACTGTTGAAAGAAAATCATGAAGTGTGATGGAATTAGACTCTCAAGATTAATTTTTAATAATAATTAGGTCATCTTGAAGTTAGTTTGTATAGAAAAAAAATTTCTCTTAAATGACAGGCAAAAATGATCAATAGGATTGTTTTCAATAAAACAACACTGGGATGAAATTAGAGTCAGATAATAAAGGAAACATGTTTGGCTAATTTCTCTAATGGCTAAAGGGCTTTTGGATCAATTGGATTCATGTAACATTTTTTTTCTTTATTAAATCAGAATTGCACATAATCTGTGAAAGTAAATATTATCAAGACTACTTCAGCAAAAGACAAAGATAAAATTGTAACTATCAAGCACAAGTAAGAGTATTTTTGTTTGTTTGTTTTGGTGAAGACTTAGTTAAGATAATTTAAAAAGAAAAACACTCCATATGCAATAGGATCAAAACTTGATAAAGCAAAATAATCTCAAGAACTTTTTTAATTTAATTTAATTTTATTATGATATGTTAGTCACCATACAATACATCATTAGTTGTTTTTTTTTTTTTCAAAAGACAGGCCAACAAAGCCTAAGCTTTTTATTTCACCAACTAGTATTTCTGATTCTCTGATGCTGCACTTTAAAATCTTCAGAATCCACAAAAACAGCATTCAGACTTCCTATATCCAGAGAAAGGGGTCCAGAAGCCAGGAAAGGTCAGGCCCCAAGCTGTTTTCCAGTGAAAAACATGGCAGACATTTCTTTGTGAGTCTATGTCAGTCTTTAACTTAACTGAAATGCCTTTACGCTCTCCACCATCCCCCAACCTTTTTCCACAGGATCTATGACAGCAAAACACTCATCTTTCACATATACAATTCCATGGGGTGAGGGGTGGGGGGGAGCATTATACAGGCACCAGCCAAAATTTTATTCAGCTAGAAAATGGATTTTTGACTCAGTTTAATGGCAAAAAGATTTACAAAACCACGAGGACTGTCCTGGCTTTTCCTCGAGGTGAGCTGGGTGGGATTTTTATGAATGGAAGTATTGCCATAGGAAAGGCAGATTATGGGCGCCTGGGTGGCTCAGTCGGTTAAGTGACTGCCTTCAGCTCAGGTCATGATCCCGGAGTTCTGGGATCAAATCCTGCATCGGGCTCCCTGCTCAGTGAGTAACCTGCTTCTTCCTCGGACCCTCCCCCCTCTCATGTACTCTCTCTCTCTCTCATTCTCGCTCTCACAAATAAATAAATAAATCTTTAAAAAAAAAAGAAAGGCAGATTAAGTTCTATGAAAAATAAAGTTGCTCCTATCTCCATGAGTAGTATATAAGCTGCTTCCAGGAATCCAGGGATGCCCACATCCCACACCTCATCCAGTCATGGCCAATCCCTCGTGGGAAGCATAAAACCCTTTTGTAAACATTTTTTTTTGTTAGGGGGAGGGCTTGGGAAAGAAAGATGTAAGATGAATTTTTTTAATTCCCTCCCACCACCAAAAACTATGTATCTACACACACACTAAGACACACATACATATCCAATTTTAAGAAAGTTTTTCTTCCCTATGACTACAGGATCCCAAAATCCAGCCTCCCTCAGGCTGAGAGACAGTGCCTATTAACTGCCCAGAGCTGGTGTACCAACATACTGTATAAGGCTCCTGTGTGGTTTCGCAGATGGAGAGGGCAGGGGCAGAGGGAGTGGATACTCATGGGGGATTTGCTTTTTGTCTTAAATCCACTATACTTGGCCACACTCTTAGGTCCAAGGGCTGGGAGAGGCTCTGCAGGCAGGATGTGGTGGATGACCTGATGGTCCCAGCCCACTGTGGTAAGGAGAGAGTGATTGAATGGAGACCAAGTAGCATCTCTCACAAAGTCTCTGTGGGCTCGGCTTCTAAACACCTCAGAAAGACCTGAGTCCAGCACAGCAAGTGAACAGTCCTCACTGACAGAGGTCAGGAACGGGGTGCTGTGTGGGGAGAACACCAGCCCAGTGACACACTGGGAGTGCACAGCTGAGCTGAGGGCACACCTTGCACTCTTGGTGTCCACAAGGGAAACAGTTCCACTCTCGTCACCAAAGACAAAGACTTCACTCTGTTGAGGATGCCAAGCCAGGGAGGTAGAAAGGTAGCCTGATGCAGTGCAGCCCATCTGTGATGCTGGCTTGGGACAGCGGGTATCCCAGAGTAAAATTCTGTTGTCCTCACTGCATGAAAGGAACACGGAATCCTTGTGCGGGGAAGCTGACACAGGTGACCAGCCCAGAGTGAGCCCGGTATGAACTCAGTACCATCTGCTGGGCAAGGTCCCAAACCTTGATGCCAAAGTCTTTGCTACTGCTGACAGCTTGTGTGCCAGAGCTCAGGACAGACTGTAGACACAATGTCATCATGCTCATACTTGCAGAATTTGCTGACAATGAGTGTCTGGTTCTCATCCAGCTCCCACAATTCAACAGCACCTAAATCGGAAGCCACTAGAATACCTCTGTCCCCAACCCAAGTGAAGTCAGCCACTCTGGCCTCCATCTGGACTCCAGTGGAGCAGAAGTCTTCGTTGGGGGCGGCACAGGGTCCTTGAATAGTCAGAGAGAGCCAGCCAAGCAGCGGCCAGTCAGGCTGGAGGCCCCGAGCAGGAGAGCCCCATCAGCCGGTTACTGGGCAGCCTCCAACTGCCGTTCCATACAAGCGGGAGCATTAGGGGGAAGGTTCCACTCACGAAGCGCCGGGGGCACTAGGGAGGGCGGGGTTTCCTTTCACATCTTCTCGGTTCCAACTCCAACCTAGACCCAAACTGGACACCCGCTGGAGAGTCACATCATTAGTTTTTGATGTAGTCCCTCCTTAATACCCATAAGAACTTTTTTTTTTTTTTAGCTTTAATTAACTTCTAGTTGAACTGAAGCCCAGATACAAGGTAGTTTGGGCGGCTGCTATTTTTGGATTTCTGCCCATTGACTTTCTGTGTTTCTTTTCAGATACCCTGCTTGCTATATCTTGGCTGCTGTGGGCCCATTTTAAAGTCTCAAATATTCAAATCAGAACACCATACTCCTGACCTCCTTTACCCAAGCAAAACTCACCTAATCTTCTCCTTTTGGTTTCCTCAGAGACTCCATTAGAATTTTTCACTAAATAGTGGTGGGTAGGAGTGAGTTAATCATATAAATTAGTCTCTGTTACAGTGTTAAGGATCTGTTGGGTTGTTCCACTCCAAAAAGGTAATGAATGCCTCTACCAAATTAAAATGTACTCAGATACATACAAAGTGCTTCTTCTTTTTTTTAAAAGATTTTATTTATTTATTTGAGAGAGAGAATGAGAGACAGAGAGCACGAGAGGGAAGAGGGTCAGAGGGAGAAGCAGACCCCCCGCTGAGCAGGGAGCCCAATGTGGGACTCAATCCCAGGACTCCAGGATCATGACCTGAGCCTAAGGCAGTCGCTTAACCAACTGAGCCACCCAAGTGCCCAAAGTGCTTCTTCTAATAGTGGAAATTTAAACTACCAGTGGTAGTCTGGTGAAACTGTTTTTAAAGCCTTCATTGATTCCTTAATTATACTACATAGTCCCTGTTATAAGACTGGCTCTGTTCAACTACTTGGTATTCCTCCTTGCTGGTCCTATCTTTTAGCTCATAAATCCAGCATAATATTAGCAGGATAATTTATGGTCTGCTATACACAAGAGAAACAGTTCCAATTTGTGCTTACTCTTGCAAAATAATTCTTTTATAGTTCTATACGGATCTAGAGAACATATTAAAGATATGGAAGGGTGAAATCTTGACTGGGTTTGATTAATAGACAAACAAGACACTGATATCCTAGAAATACTTAAATATTATGCAAAAATATTCTGGTTGTCCTCTTGAGAAAACAAAGAACTTTTGTAAAACCCATAACTTGCATTTCCATAATGCTCGACAGCATAAAGTAATTTCATAAGCATTATTTAATTTGAAGCTTCCAATAGGTCTATAAGTTAGACAAGATGGACACTTTCATTCCCATGTAACATTAAAAACACTAAAGTGATTTTTTTCAAGTTCACTCAGCCATTAAGTGGCAGAAACTATGACCTCTGTACATTCAGTGTACTTCAACATATAAGTGCCAAGCAGATGTGAAATCACTACAATCTGACATCTAAGGCATTTCTCAAAGGAGGATGCTCAATTTCATTCTCTCCCCTTTGCTACTCCAAAAAGAAGACAGTTTTTGGTTAAGAATCATGACAGAAATTTTGCCATCATATATATTGGATAAAAGTAAAAAAAAAAATCACCTTGTGATCTGGATTTTATAATCTTTTTCATAGTACATATTCTGAGATTTGGGAATGTACAAATTAATGTTTTATTTCCAGTATAATTAATCATGTTATATTAGTTTAAGGTGTACAATATAGTAATTCAACAGTTCCATATACTACTTAGTGCTGATCATGATAAGTATACTCTTAATCCCCTTTACCTATTTCACCCATCCTCCCCCACTCACATCCCGTCTGGTAACTATCAGTTTCTTCTCTATAGTTAAGAGTCTGTTTCTTGGTTTTTCTTTTTTCCCTTTGTTTGTTTGTTTTGTTTCTAAAATTCCATGTATGAGTGAAATCATATGGTATTTATCTTTCTCCAACTGGCTTATTTTGCTTAGTATTATACTCTAGCTCCATTCATATTGTAGCAAATGGCAAGATTTCATTCTTTTTAATGGCTCAATAATATTCCATTATATACATATGTAATTTATCTATCATCTATCTATCTATCTATCTATTATCTATCTATCTATTATCTATCTATCTATCTATCTATCTATCATCTATCTATCTCTCACATCTTCTTTATCCATTCATCTATCACTGAACACTGGGGCAGCTTCCATACCTTGGCTATTGTAAATAGTGCTGCAATTAATATGGGATGCATGTAACCTTTAGAATTAGTGCTTTCATATTCTGTGGGTAAATAGTACTGTGATTACTGGATCATAAGGAGAGTTTTATTTTTAATTTTTTGAGGAACTTGCATACTGTCTTCCACAGTGGCTGCACCTGTTTGCATTCCCACCTATGCTGTAGGAGTGTTCTTTTCTCTCCACATCCTCACCAACGCCTCTTGTTTCTTGTGCTTTTGATTTTAGCCATTCTGACTGGTGTGAGGTGATATCTCATTGTGGTGTTGATTTACATTTCCTTGATGATGAGGGATGTTGAGCATCTTTTCATGTATCTGTTGGCTATCTGATTGTCTTCTTTGGAGAAATGTCTGTTCATGTCTTCTGCCTATTTTTTAATTGGATTATTTGTTGTTTGGGTATTGAGGTGTATAGGTTCTTTATATAATTTGGATATTAACTCTTAGTGGATATGTCACTTGCAAATATCTTCTCCTATTCAGTAGGTTGTCTTTTAGTTTTGTTGGTTGGTTCCTTTCTGGTGCATAATTTTTTTATTTTGATGTAGTCCCAATAGTTTACTTTTCTGTTTGTTTCCCTTGCCTCAGAAGAAATATCTAGAAAGATGCTGCAGTGGCCAATGTCAGAAAAATTATTGTCTATCCTCTGTTCTAGGATTTTTATTGTTGTAAGTCTCACATTTAGGTCCTTAATCCATTTTGACTCTAATTTTGTGTATGGTGTAAGAAAGTGGTCCAGTTTCATTCTTTTGTATATTGCTATCCAGTTTTCCCCACACCATTTGTTGAAAAGACTATCTTTTTCCTACTGTATATTTTTTAAAAGATTATTTATTTGTTATTTGAGAGAGAGAGAGAGCACACAAAAGCCGGGGGAGGGGCAGAAGGAGAGAGGGAAGCAGACTCGCCACTGAGCAGGGAGCCCAATGTGAGGCTCAATCCCAGGACCCTGAGATCATGATCTGAGCTGAAGGCAGACACTTAACTGACTGAGCCACCCAGGTGCCCCCTACTGTATATTCTCACCTCCTTTATCAAAGATTAATTGACTATGTAACTGTGGGTTTATTTCTGGGTTTTCTGTTCTATTGATCTATGTATCTGTTTTTGTGCCAGTGCCATACTGTTTTCGTTACTACAGCTTTGTAATGTAACTTGAAGTCTGGAATTGTGATACCTCCCATTTTGTTTTTCTCTTTAAAGATTGCTTTGGCTATTGGGGTCTTTTGTAATTCTATACAGATTTTAAGATGGTTTATTCTAGTTCTGTGAAAAATGCTGTTGGTATTTTGATAGGGATTGCATTAAATCTGTAGGATGCTTTAGGTAGTATGGAAATTTTAACAATACTTGTTCTTCCAATCCTTAAGCATGAAATATCTGTCCATTTCTTTGTGTTGTCTTCAATTTCTTTGATCAGTGTTTCATAGTTTTCGGAGTACAGGTGTTTCACCTCTTTGGTTAACTTTATTCCTAGGTATTTCATTATTTATGGTGCCATTGTAAATGGAATTATTTTCTTAATTTCTCTTTCTACTGCTTCATTCTTGGTGTGTAGAAATGCAATGGATTTCTGTACATTGTTTTTGTGTCCTGTGGTCCTTTTGAATTCATTTATCAGTTCTAGAAGGTTTTTGGTGTAGTCTTCAAGGTTTTCTATATGTAGTAACATGTCATCTGCAAATAATGAAAGTTTCACTTTTTTACCAATTTGGTTGCTTTTTATTTCTTTTTCTTGTTTTATTGCTATGGCTAGGACTACCAGTACTGTGTTGAATAAAAGTGGAGAAAGTGGGCGTCCTTGTCTTGTTCCTGACCTTACAGGAAAAGCTCTCAATTTTTCTCCCTTGAGTATGATGTTTGTTGTGGGTTTTTCATATAAGGAACTTTATTATGTTCCCTCTAAGCCTACTTTGTTGAGGGCTTTTATCCTGAATGGATATTGTACTTTGTCAAGTATTTTTTCTGCATCCATTTTTAAATTATCATATGGCTTTTATCCTTTTTCTTATTGATGTAATGTTTTACATTGATTGGTTTGTGAACACTGAACCATACTTGCATGCCAGAAATAAATCATATTGATTATGTTGAATGAATAATTTAATGTATTATCAGATTGGGTTTGGTAATATTTTATTAAGGATTTTTTATCTATGTTCATCAGAGATATTGGCATGTAGTCATCTTGAAGTAGGCTTGTATTGCTCTAGATTTCCCTCTTTAAATTGCTTTTACTGCACCCTGAGATTTTGTACCAGCGTGTTTCTATTTTCATTTGTTTCCATGTAATTTTTTTTATTTCTGTTTTGATTTCTTGGTTGACCCATTCCTCATTTAGTAGCATGTTATCTAACCAACCTCAATATATTTGTGGTCTTTCCAGATTTTTTCCTGTGGTTGATTTCTAGTGTCATACAGTTGTGGTCAGAAAAGATGCATGGTATGACCTCGATCTTTTTGAATTTTTTAAGACACGTTTTAGGGCCTAAGATGTGATCTGTTCTGGATAATGTTCCATGTGCACTTTAAAAGAATTCTGCTCTTTTAGGACTGAATGTTCTGAATACTAAATCCATCTGGTTTAGTATTTCATTCAGAGTTATTGTCCTTTTTGATTTTCTGTTTGGATGACCTGTCCATCAGTGTAAATGAGGTGTTAAAGTCCCCTTCTATTATTGTCTTACTATCAGTTATTCCCTTTACGTTTGTTATTAATAACTGCTTTATGTATTTGAGTGCAACCATGTTGGGTGCATAAATATTTATAATTATGTCTTGTTGGATAGTCCCCTTTATTAATATATAGTATCCTTTGTCTCTTCCAACAGTCTTTGTTTT